AACCATGGTACAATAAAAACAGGTAGAAGCCAAATTGACATCAAACCTACAAAAGTCAAAGTTTTCGGGAGAGTAAAAATAAAAATGAGCGTGTGTAAGGAAAAATAAAAAATTACATTTCACTGGTTGATGTTTTTGAGTAAATTTGAAGTTTTGTTTGTATTTATTTATTTTTCTTTAGTTAAAATTTGTTAATTTGTATGTTGTTTTATGTTTTTAATTTATGAGTTGCAGTGTTGTTGGAGGGACTTTCCGGCATAAGGGTCATAGGAACAGCACTTGGCATCAAATGTGCCTTTTCTGTACCTCCCGGTGCATTTATGAAATCTGCTGCTTTAAAATGTTTAACGCACAGCCCCACAGCTGCTTTCGGAACGCTCTTTACGCGAAGGACATTGAGGCACGTTAAATGGTATCTGCTTCATATTTAACACCACATAAAAAACAACGCTTCGGTGTTGCATTTTTAACACATACATTAAGTATAAACCGCACAACACTCCAAAATTCAAATGTTAATTAAAATTTGTTATTAATGAACATTAAAAAAAACAACGATATGACCAAGGTGTATTAAACAAGGTGTGATTGACAACTCAGTGCGGCTCTCTTTTAAGGTACTATAATGTCAAAAAGTATAAACAAACGAATTAACCCTTAGTGATGCATTTTTCTTATCAGCACTGATGTCCTAGGCTTTTATTTCGATTATAGTTTTGTTTTACTTACATTACTTACATCACATATATTTTGTCAATAAAATAAAACAAACTGTTTATAAAATCGTTTTATCAATTTTCTTGTTTTTAATTGTCTTAGTTTCATGCTTTTGCGCGTTTATTTTTATATTTCAATTTTTTATCCTAAGCATTATTCGACACTTATAAAAGTATGATTTTACATTTTTTTACCAATTTTATATGTGAGCTTAACTCAAACAATTTTGAAATTAAATTTTTTTCATGTGAACTAGTTTTCCATTAAAGACCTTGCTTCGAGCGGTTTTAATTTAAGCTCTTCCATACTTGCTTGCATGGTTTAATTATTTCGGTAATCCGAAATATTTCTGTTCGCAACGTGCATTCTAAAGAGTCGTCTGTTTGAGTTTGCGCATCAAAAAAGAATGTATCCTGATCGTGTACTAAATCCTCACTTGTATCAGTTTTTCCGTATGGCATTTTGACTGCGCATGGGTTTAAACGAGCTCGTTGGAAAGTGTTTGATTTGCACATCACTTTCCTTGAAGTGGTTTTCACAAACGCGAGATGAATCACGTAGTACAACACCAAAGCTTTCTTCCCATCGCTGCCGTCTTAATTCGCAACTAGGTGGTTTAAAACATCGCACTATTTTCGTGTCCTGACTTTTATGGCATCGTTTCATCTTGGTTTCCTTACATTAAATATTTAAGCAAAGTCTAACGTATTTACTTATTACCAAACTTAAATGTACTTACTTGCTCTTCTCGGCGGTTTATCTCTTAACAATTTCACGTTTATTAAGAAAATTTGCTTTGCTTGAAAAATTTGTGTGTATTTTTTTTGTTAATTCAAATTTGAAAAAAAACACATTTTCAAATGGGTTAACAATTCATTTCAATTTGACATTATAGCCTGTTTCTTATGAGAGCAATGTCAAAATCAATCACACTTTGTTGAATACATTTTGGATATGACATTCAAAGCGTGACGAAATACAGGAAATAAAAGAAAAACAAGTTGAAGTTAAAAGGTTTGGTTCTCATGAGAGTAACGTCATTTTGGCTTCTACCTGTATTTATGTGCCTTGCTGTAAACTGTATTTTTTCTATAATTTGATTTCTTGGCATACTGTGATATAGAAAAACAAAACCATAATCACAAGGTGGTGTTGTTAGAACAGCTGCTTTAATTCGCCTCGGTACACATATGTCAAAACTCCTTATGAGTTATTGTGAAAGTAAGAGCGTTGGCATTTCCTTTCCCGTTTCCTCCTTGAGCGAAGAATAGCTGAAATTCGATATTTGTGTACCGAAAGCGAAAAGAAAATACATGTTAGTTTTTGTTTTTGTACTAGCCCTTCTAACTTATATGAATTCGCCTTGCATTTTTATATTCACAAAATTTTTGCGTTATTCTTAACCTTCCTTTTTGCATACCTTGAAGTAATGTAGGTGTTTTGATTAGCAAAATTTAAAAATTTATTTAAAGCAAATCGGTTTCTCGGTACTAATCTAGTTGGCCAAAAATGTTTTTAAGGAATAATTTAAATAATAACTAACTTAATTTTTCATAGCACATAACTTTTCCTAACCCTTTTTCAAAACCAATTTAGCTTCACTTTCTCTTATCATCTGCTCGCACTGTTAGTAAGTTAGTTTACGACACTCGCAATATATGAGTAAACTCACGAGATATATTTTTCGGCAAAAACGGTTTTTTTTTTTTTATCCAAAGTGGTGGCACACTTATCTTAAAGAAGAAGTTTTAATCGCGAAATTGTATTTAAATAAAATCATAAAAAACCTATGCTAAAAAGTAAGAATAACAACTCGCGCTCATTTAACCGTAGCACCATACACTGTCAGCTAAAACGTTTACTCGCGCGCCTTAACTTAAAAGTCATATTATTTAAAAGTACATAATTAAATATTGGTGTGGAATATCTTTCTACAGTATTCCTCATGCATATATGTATATATATATATTAATTTGTTAATGTATTTAACAATTTTACAATAGGGCTATTCGCGATCCGGTGCAAATGGCCTAGCATCATTGCATTGCAAATTTGTATTGCAAATTATTTGCAATACACAAACAAAATACACGCATTTGCATTTGTCATGGCTAGGCAAATTTGCAATACCGAAAATCCATAGCATAAAAATGCTATGCATTGCATTCATAAACAAAACCAAAGCTGATGCACAAAAATTGTTTTGCAAAAGCTTTGCCATGACAGTTTAATAAAGGTCGCTCACAATCCATGGCATATTTCTGAAATTGCATAAATTTGTCAGCTACTCCGGTGGTACATAAGTTTTATTACTGTAGATTTATTTGTTTTACCGAGAACATTTTCACTGTTAGGGTGTCCATTTAGAAGTATCTCAAAATTTTAAAATGAAAAGATTGCTAAATTTCAAAAATTACAAAATAGCTGCGTAGAATATTCTGCATGCTGCCATTTTTTTTAGTATGTTGGCACACCCTTGAAACTTCACGGATATATTGTATTTGATGCCAAATTCTATTGCCTCTAATATTTATGAACATTCTATTTAGAAACTTCCCAAAGTTATTAAAAAATAAATAAAAGAAATTTATGTTTTTTATTTTAAAATTGTGCAAATACTTGATTTATTTTTTATTGTACTTATTTCTGGAATTCCAGTGGTTCAGTTTCAGGCGAGAGAAGGGAGTGACACTAAAAAAAAAGTAACTCGTGAATTTGCTCATATACTGAAGACCTCGCATCTGGAATATGTTTTATGCTGTCATAATTTGGAGCTTGGCGCAGAGATTGTGAAGGTTTCCTATGTGGAAAATATATACTGAACTGCGGAATTTTATACGTCATTTAATTAATGTTATAAAAATTATTGCTGTGTTAGTAACAGTACATATCGTCGCCGCCGCGGTAAGAGCTGCTAACTCCACTTTTCGGTCAAAGCAACTTTTTGATACTGACGGAAAGGGGGAAAATATACTTAAATGGTGGTAAAAGCCAATATTTTTATGGTATTTAGAATCGCTAAAAACTATCTATGCATATAATAAAATTGTGTCAGGCCGATGTCTGTACATTATACATAGATATTGAAGAAAAATTAATATGCGGGTCTTTATTAGAGCAACAGAAGCCAAGTCAAAAATTTTTTGAAATTTTGTGTGTCTGTATGTTTGTACGCGCACCACTCGAAAACTAATGCATGGAATTGAATGCAGTTTTCACCGATGTATTAGCAATACATAGAGGTCTAACTTAAAATATAAAAAGGAAAAAAAATTAGAGGGTTGCCAACTGTTTGAAAATTTTAGTTTACGTAATTTGATAATATGGCAATATGGCTGGCAAAAGAAAGAGGTTTAATAAGGCTTACAGCCGAAAATATTTTTGTGGAAGGTTGCCACCTGTTTGAAAATTTTAATTCAATTTAATTGATGAGATAAACTGATTATTAGCAATATGGGTATCAAACTGAAGAGGTTTTGGAAATTTTACTGCCAAAAATATTTTTGAGGGGAATTTTAATTTAATTTAACTGATGAGATAAATTGAACATAAGCAATATGGGTATCAAACTGAAGAGACTTGGGAAATTTTACTGCCAAAAATATTTTTGAGGAGGGTTGCCACATGTTTGAATAATTTTATTCAATTAAATGGGTAAAATAAGTCAAATATTACAATACGGGTATCAAAATAAATAGTTTTAAGAAATTGTACTGTCGTCAATATTTTTCAATTGGGTTGGAACCTATTTGAAAAATTTAATTCAGTTAAATCTATAAGATAATCTATAATCTATAAGGTAAATATTGAATTAATACATATTTGACGAAAGGACGCGATATGTAGTCTCGAGTTATTAGATTATAAATTAAATTTCCAGGAAAAAGTCGGCACATTACCTACTTTCTACATGCCTTCGAAAGTATATTAACTGAGACCCACATTCATAAGAAATAGAGAATGCTTAATAAATCGAAAATTTGTATGAAAACCTATCCCTTTAAATACTTTTTTATTATTTATGAATGAAGCCATAACAGTTTTGGAAGGGAATAAGGCGCAATGAGTCACGCCGGGTATTTGCTAGTTTAAAATATTTAAGTTTTCGATTCACTCTCAAAATGAAGAAAATTTATATGCATATTTAATGGCATTCCCCCGGAAACAAGACACGATTTTGAATATGGTATAACGGGTAATTCTCTATGATTAACTCAAAAACCCAATACTTAAAATAAATACACTTATTAATTTCCTAATATAATTTTTTTTTAATTTTCCAGCACAAACAAAGTATCGAAACGCATCATGGACGTTGTTCAGGACGTTAGCGAATTCTTTGTGGTATTCGTAAAAATACTTTTAGAATTATTGCAACGCCTTTTTGAAAGGATGTTGAACAAACAACTAAAAGACATAAGCGGTGAAATTATATTGGTAAAAAAATATAAATACATATATTCACGGTGTTCAGCAAACTTATTTTATTGCAAATATACTTTCGCAGATAACAGGCGCTGGACATGGTATTG